TATTCGCCTATTAAAGAATGATGATAGGTCTACAAACTCAAGATGAATATTGTAATCTTGAAAAAGTTCTCAAAATGTTACGTCATCCTACTTCTTGCACAGACATTACAGATAACTCTTTCTATTGATACTGCATTGAAATACGATTGAATATTTTGAATCTATTCGAATAGCATGAACTAAACTTCCATGTTAAAGTACTAATAAAAGACTTTGCTTTTTTTTTTTTCAAATAACTATCAACGGTGACTAGACGCGGAGTCACAATGCCAACCATAACCATGGAATATTCAGATTTTAGAATAACGACTTTCTTTAAAATGAAAATTTTAAAAACTTGCTCCATATAGGTTCCGTTAGGTCAAAACAAATATGTCACATATGTCTTAAAACATTTATTAAATCAAACCATCGCATCACATTATCTAAAGCCAAATAGAGCTTTCATAAAAGAATTTCATTATAGTTCATCAAAAAGTTCCCAATGGTTCCCATATATGCTGATCTGGTTACATGTGGTTCCGGCGTTGTTTTAGGCAAAAACTATTGTATAATCAGATCATTACAAGTATTTTGCATTTTGTGAAGCTTTGGTCGAAGGAAAATTTATTGTAAATATATTAGGTCTAAGCACACACAATTAATCGCACAACCGATGTTTGCGAATGTTCGTGTTTGTTTATAACGGTTTTCTAAACCAACGATCGGTATTAGGCGATGACGGCCTCCAGGTATTTATCCCGCAATATATAGCTTTTAAAGTTCTTACAGGTTTTTAGAAAAAGTCGATACATTCGAAATGAATATTATCGATAAGATTAATCTTTCTCAGTTATCAAATAGGTAAACCAATAGTTCTACTCTTACAGGCTTTTGTTTTTGTGATTTATGTATGTTATGTGCTTTCATTTATGCAAATTCTAAATCAAACTTTCTAAAATTCCATTTAGACATATTGAAAAGAATCTAAATGAATGCGTATATACATACATATGTGATTAGTATGAGATAAAAAATAATATAATAACCATAAAATAAACCAGTAAAGATATATTGATGACTACAAATAGCCCACACACATACATACATATACATTTGTCTCTCGTTGAAATGATTGTCAATTTTATACTCTCACAAATCTTTCGTTTAGTGTCAAATACATTATTCGTCTGTGACAAGGCCCTTAATGAACATAGCATAGCACAGCATACATAGTCTTAGGTGAGTGGCATAGCATTTGCATAAATCAAATATTTATTTCTGTTATGCCTAATTTGTGGACTTAAATCAAATGCTTAAACACATTCTAGGCGAGAAGATTGTAATCTTAACAAAATACGCGCAGTGACAGAAAAAGTAGTCATCTACATTCCTTAAGTTATGTATGTATGTATATGCCTGCATGAGTATATAACAAGTGTGTCTTCAATTTATTATATGTTCACTAAATACATAATAGAAATTAACTGCCAACAGTGTCACGAAATTTCTTCCATTCAAATTTATGTAAATCTATGTATCTATGTGTAAACACACTTATACACACATAAGTAAGAAATTTAGAAACTTACTGTCCAAAATTTTCGTAAAGCAAATACAAGTGATTTATGCTACATCATGCTGCATATTAATATGTAGATATGTATGTATGTACTTAGAGACAAAACTCAAGCCATGGAACAACACATACGCCCACATAAACAGGTGTTTTAAATAATAAAACAAAAAGTTAGCTTCAAAAGGCTTGTTAATTTTTTCTCACTTTTTCAAATGCGTTGGCGTTTGCTGGTTTTTTGTATATATTTCTTCTTGTATTTTTGACTACAGTTACTTTGTTCTACCTATTGACTTTCTGTTCCTTCAGCATTTGATTAATGAGCCTGTCTGTTAGTCGTAGATCGCAATCAGTGATAGACATTTGCGAAGCAATTGAATGACATTTGAATTTGTCAATTTATGATTTCAGTCCTTAAAACTCAGAATAGTGCGCAAATAAAATGTGATACGCCGGAGCTGAAGTGTAGAATCTGAAATCTAGGAATAGCGTGGAAAATTCCATTATGTTAATAATATATCAGGTATACAGAGTGATTTAATACGCCCAAATTTATGTAACTACTCCCTAAATATACGAGTAGTCACTTTATCAATGCTAAGTTCATACCGTCGGTATATGTATATAATATTGCCTACATTTTAGTGTTTAGTGAATATATAAGAGTAGTGGTGAAACGAACAAACAACTGTTATAAGATAGCATACTGGTATAATAACATAGATATATAATATAAATGGTCAATAGAATAAATAGACAATAGAAAAATCATTTTTTCGAAGCCGTGATACCCATATTCTCTGGGTTCTACTCCGTCTAATAGAATAATTTACGTGAAAATTAAAAAAAAAGTTCGTTTTCAGAGGTACAAGGTGTGTTCAGAAAATAACGGGAATTATTGTATAAAATTTTAAATTTCGCGGGCTTGGAGAATCCAATTGTCAAATTTTGTTTATTATGTTGATATAATGCCTCTCAAATACGATAACATTTTTTGCTTTATTCATTGCTTACTTTGGCGACAACATTATTGTAGACGAATGAATATTTTTCAAAAAACGAAAATTTTCGCTTTTTTTTTTTTTTTGATTACACTTCGTAGATACCAAGAATTATAATTGCAATTATAAATTATCTTCCAAAAGTTCTAAATAACAAGATTTTATCAACAACGACACAACAGAGACAGCGACTAAGTCTATTCTTGATCGAATCATTGTAATTGGTTTCGCCGTTAAGTCTAACGTTATCTATCAATAGATTGGATTCTACTATTCCTTTGTAATATATATGTGTGCATGAAAGGTTTTTTTTTATAATCTTTCTTAATCTCACCAAATTCATGATTATTTATTTTCTTAAGGAATTGTGGTTTATCTTCTTTACGCTAATTCGCTTCACCAGACGATACATAACCAAAAAGATGACAGTGTTATAGTTGTAAAACGCACGGTCTACCAGCTGTTGATATCTATCTATTTTCGATTCTGCTTTAAGCAACTTAAACGACCTCGGCTTTTGTTTAAACAAGTGAAAAGAAGTTTGTATTAGTGTGATACAAAAGTTTGATTAAACACACACGCAATTGTATCTACAGATATTGTGTAATACTACTATTGGTATAAAATAAATCAAACAACTAAAACAATTGAAGGTTAATTAAGGCCATATTACGGTTTTCAACCCAACGGCATTTTTGTTGAAGTTTTGAAATTCGGCAGTATGGTTTTCAACTCAACCCGTTAAAAAATTTCGGTTGAATTGTCAAACCTCAACTTTTTTGGTATTATGGTTTTCAACTCTGTGCCAGTGGGGTTGACTAAAGTATCAACAAATTTCAACTGCTAACAAGCGGTTGTAGTTAAAACAAATATTTTATTTATAATTTCAAACTATTTTAATGAGTCATTATGTACAAATTCCAGTTTGTTGAACACTTGAAGTAAAATCTCGAAATAGCAGAGACAAGCTACAATTTTGAAACATTACAATAAAATTAAGGGACCGCGGGAACATAAGTGTCGATACAATCTACTACTAGTAAAATTAAACTTTCAAAGCGTTTTGCTCCTCTTCGGTCATTGGTGTTTTATCCACAGTGCACAAATATGGCTTTCATAATATTATATATAAAAGCAGGTTTTGTAACAACCGTATATAACGTATGCTGCTTCAGTCCAAAGTTAAAATGAACTGTTGATAACTACCGACAGCGAGGAAATGGGGAGTTTGTGGTAACGTTCCTTCATCTCATTTAGTAAAACCCAAAATGATTCCTCATCTAAACGAAAATAACTTATGAATCTGCAATAAACATTATTTAAATGTCATTTAGTTGTCAATAAACTTTTGGTTTATCTGGTGTTAGGTGGATTTAAGTGATCACGAAGGCCTTTTTTTATGCGCAGCACATTTGTTTTGGCCCCAACATTTTTGTCATCGTAATATAAATCGAAACTAATGTCTATTTTAATAAGTATTCACCATTTTGTGAGCAATAACTAAATTAAAATATTTCGATTTTTCGTTTAACTATTTTCAGTAGGTAAATTACACCAATCAAACTTCGACTAAAAATATTAGTTGAAAATCGTTATACAAAAAAAGAGTTGGGTTGATCTGAAGTTGAATTGCTTCAACTTCAATTTAACCAAGAGTTAAAAACCGTAATAGCATTTTAAGTATTTAGTAACACTTTGAAAAGTTTGACGAAGTTAGTTAGACAGAAAGAGAAAGAGATATTTTATTTGCGCAGAGAACATCTATAACTCCAAAAACACCGTAGTTATATCATTCTTACCCACATTACCTCCACACAAATTTGTTTTATAGTAAACTGTAACTTGAAATGATTCACTGAGATTGAAGCTGAATGTTGGTTCTGGTTTCCAATTTTATTATTAATAGTGAGATTATTAAGAATTTATTTATTGAAGATCTCACTGCAGTATGGATTTTTCTTTCAACACTCCATTACCTGTAACTTTAATGCAGCAGCGCTTGCGATTTCATGATTAATATACTAATTGACTTTGTGGAACACTATATTCGAACACACGTAGACCCACTTAATGCAGAACAAGTTGTACAAGTTTTCTAATAATTTGGCTGATCAACACATTTAACATCGACAAGCCGCTTTTTCGCTTAGTCTCAAGTTTAATATTGAAATTGGCATCAAATTTTTAGTACGTTTTAATAATTACAAATAGTATACTTGTAAGTACAGCACCATGACAAAAACAAAAATAAATGTTTCATAAAAAAATATTGAAACAATTATGTTTCAAAAAGTTAAGTTACATACACAATTTACAATAGTTGAGCCACAAAGTTAATTTTGCTTGAAAAACAAAATTTAAATTTCTTTGATTTTCACACTCACTCAATTAAATAAAAATATTCACACAGAAATTGTATTGTCATTTAGTAAAAAATAAACACATACTTTGCAACATATTTATTTTCGCCCGATTTCTAAACACTTTATAGATGATACATATTAATTTCTTAAACAAGCAGCTCTACAGTCGAGTTTTCTTTCAAAATTATTGCCTGCAAGCGTTTGAAGTGGAATCATAATAGAAGCGGCGCATCAAAGCACGACATGGACCAACAACACGAGGCTGAGAGCAAGCTGAAAATAACAAAATTTATAAATTTAAAAGTATTAAAGATTATAAATATTTTTTAGTTATGAATGGCTGAAATATTTTCTTTACCAGCTCTCCGTTTTTGCGCATTCACCGTCAGAAAATTTAAAATTACTACGAAGAAGAAAACGCCCAAAATCGCACGCGTGACAGACATCTTTATTAATACTTTTTATTATCTGCTATACCTTAGAGCTCCAAATGTGACTTCGCAGAAGCACTTGTTCATTTACTAACTGATAATATAATATATTTCTTTAATAAATATCATTAAATTTCGGTCGTCATTATTACTGTACAAGTATGTATTTATCCAGCTGTTACAATTTGTATAGAATAATGGTATCAATAATGGGTAAAGACTCATATTCATTCAAAACGATTTAAAGATTGTATACACCGCTGTGTGCGTTTATTTGTGCAAAAGAACAACGTACATACACATGAAAATGTATATGTAGATTTAGGAGCTGCATCTGTGTCGGTTCAAGCCCTACTTCCAGCAATAGCATTAAAATTATAAATCAAATAATATCGTTCGTATTTCGACCGAACCGTCGCACCCAGAGTACAACCTTCTAAAAAATTACAAGTTCATGAGTTCAACAAATTGTCTCAATAAAATCCAATCTGAACATACTAATGATTCATGATTTTTCCATAAAATGTGGTATAGCTATTTTATGAAATTTGACTCTGAGTACTGCAATATAAGGTTTTTTTTGGGTTTCTAAGTGAAATTGACCAGACACCCACATGGCTTGAAATTATGCATAGGATCAGATATCCACTTCGATTTCAAGTTGCTCCGATAACGCAAGTTATCTTTCTGAAGATAGGGGCTAACTTTCTGAAATTTTACTAGTACTAAATATAAATGGAAGATTTCGCAGATGTTTTTGGCTTAAATGACTATTCAGATAATTTGATTTCTTAATTATAATTTCTCTGTATTGAAATGGATATTGTATTGAACAAATATGTACTTTCAAAAGTCATAACTACGAAGTTGGAAAACATTCGATATAAGAAGCACCAATTAATAAGAAAGTCGCATTTTTAAAGAATTGGATTCAGTCTGTTATAGAAGAATGCTAAAGAAATCTTGCTATTAATTTGTAGCTGATTACGAGGACTACTTGACACATCTACAGAAAAACCACATTAGCAGAACACATACGATACGGATTTCTCACCCATATTGCATTGCGGATAACTTTTCCAAAGTTTAATCTATTATCATCTACTCAATGTTAATGATTTCCATAATTCATCTTCTTGATTTTGCATAAGTCGGCGCAGCACTGCTATCATAATGTACTCCTGACTGCTCTCGAGGCATTACCCTAATTTCTATATTCTTAAAACAAGCTTTGAATTTTTTCAAGATAATTATTAAAACTTTGTTTGTCCGAGATTCAAAAATGCACATTTGAAATTAATTGCAATGTACGACTAGTTATTTGGCTCATCGTTACTCCAAACACAAAGTTTAGTCGCAAGCTGCTCTTAAACACTCACACTAAGCTATTTAATCGGAAAGCATACGTAAATTAATGAAAAAATTATATATTATGCTGTTAGGAAGCACCGTACCGTGCAAGTATGGATTAATCACAGTGTATTACCAGAGATATGAGCCCTGATCCGATCAATGGAATCTTCGCTTCACTTATTTTAGGATGCAAAAAATTCTACGATCCCAACAAACACGTTTCCTTCACATTTAATGAACTTGGTACCTGGACCTCGCTACCCGACCCTCAATAATTAATACTACTCACAAAATGTTTGATAAAATTTCATAAAAAAGTGATGATCACAGTATTTTTATACCCTGAACAAGATATATTAGGTAAAGTAAAAAGTTCGTTCGGTTTTTTATTGATTTTTCAAAAGATGATAACTTTGTGTACATTGGTCCGATTTAAGTCAAATATACGCCGTTTTGTTCGTAAACTTGTTGCCAACGAGATGCCAACTTCATTATACCCCTCTCGTAGAAGACTGCGTCCCTATTGCCAAATCAACTCGGAGAGCCAATTTTCACAGGCCTCTTTTGAGGCCAACTTCTCACCATTAAGCGCGTTCGCCATGGACAGGAAAAGATGGTAATCACTTGGTGCCAGGTCCGGACCATAAGGTGGGTGCATTAGAACCTTCCATCCGAGCTCCAGGAGCTGCTGGCGAGTCACCAAAGACGTGTGTGACCTGGCGTTGTCCAGATGAAACACAATTCGGCCTCTGTTGATCAAAGATGGCCTCTTCTGGATGAGTGCTGCCTTCAAGCGGTCCAGTTGTTGGCAGTAGAGGGCCGAATTGAGCGTTTGGCCATACAGCAAAACCTTCCTGGCCGTCAATCAGGTCTTGGCCACCATCTGGGCCGCTTCCCCGAGCTTTGACCACGACCGTTTGCGCTCGATGTTGTCATAAGTGAGCCATTTTTCATCGCCAGTCACAATCCGCTTCAGAAACGGGTCGATTTTGTTGCGATTCTGCAGCGATTTGCAGATGGAAATTCGGTCCATCATGTTTTTTGTGTTAGTTCGTGTGACACCCAAACATCGAGCTCCTTTTTGAATTCAAGGTTATGCAAATGGTTCCAAACGGTTTTCTGGCTTATCTTTAGTTCCTCAGCAATTAAATAAATGCTCACGTGACGGTCTGTTTCCACTATTTTCATGATTTTATCGCAATTTTCGACGACAGGCCTCCCGACGTGTGGTGCATCTTTGACATCGAAATTACCGGAACGGAACCTAGCAAACCACTTTTGTTTCAAGTATCGGGCCCATAAACTAAATTAATTTTTTCAGTCGCTTTGGCTGCTTTTTCGCCTTGATCGAAGAAAAATTGTAAAATATAGCGAGTTTTCTCTTTGTTGGTGTCCATCTTTGACGAGCGCTCACAACGAACTGAGTAAATCAATCGAAAAAGTGTCAAAGACAAAATTTTAGCGCGAATAAACACGTTTTCAGCGCCGTATAGTATGACATGATGCGACACGTAACACTAGTACTATGGACAATAACGCCATCTCTTAGATAAAAACCGAACGAACTTTTTACTTGACCTTATATTAATTTTGCCACGATGTTGGTAACACCTAGAAAAGAAGGTCGGAGACACTATAAAATATATATCTAAATGAGCAGCGTGACGAGCTGTATCGATTTAGCCATGTCCGTCTGTCTGTATATACGCGAACTTATTCTTCAGTTCGATATCGATCGAAAGTTTTGCACACACTCTTTTCTCCCCAAAAAGCTGCTCATTTGTCGGCACCGCTGATATTGGACCACTATAGCATATATGTATGTGACTGCCATACAAACTGAACGTACGGATTCAAAGGTATTATATAGCGCTGCCTTATGCTGGTCACTCTTGTAAATATGTATACAGTTTTCATTTAGTCAATAAACATCATTTATATAATTTTTTATTAAATTCTCACATCTTATTCATTAAATGCAAGCACTCTTTGTTAAAATCAACAAAATATCTGTGTGTACTTCATTGTTTTCAACAGACAGAGCTCCAATTAATAAACCAACTGTAAATAAGCATTTACTTAGTATACATATGTACATAATATTACCGAAAATATTTCGCATTCAGCAGCGATAGCCATTTTTGCAACCGAACTGTTAAACTCACTGCCACACACCGTCCTTTAGTGTCGCTTATGTCAAGCTATTACAAGAACATATCAAACTGAAGTCCGAGTCTTCCGGAAAGTAGTCAGGCAGTCCAGCTGCATTCCTTATGGCATCGTTATATTCCTTTTGGCATAACACGGCGAAATCACGCTCAGCTGTTTTCGCTTTTTCCTGTTTTTTCTGGTATTGTTTACACTCTTTGAGTAATACCAGCAGTTTCTCTAAATCATGCCTTTCACGTTTGCTCGGTTTTGGAGCAACGTTTCGAGATGCGTTTGCATGCTTTCGTGGCGGCGGTGGTTTCTTTCTCTCCTCAACAATAAGTTCGTCCAGTATGCTATTTAACCGTTCCAATTTCTCTAGCGTGCTATCCGTACGTAACGGTACACCCCAGTATTCTTCAAGTGCACGAAATTGATAGTTCGTATCTGATTGTGGTTTCTCAAGTTCAACACTTTTCCTTTTAAATTTATCTAGAGTAGTTTTTCTGTCAACACTTCCTTTTTTTATTTGTGCAGGAACCATTTGTTGTAGTAACTTTGTTTCGAGCAATAGACTTTCTTTACCGATTTTCTCATCATCAACTGATTGCAATGCTTCTGCACGACTGTCGTCGCGCCCCTGACTTATTTTGCTGAGTTTCGACTTTTCCTTACTGTAACGTTTAGTACTTTTACGACCACTTCTACTTAGTTTCAAATCTTGTCCGCCACTGTCAATACTTTTTATACTTTTTCTCTTTCCTTTTCTTTTTCTTTGTCCTTTTTTGAGTCCATCAGAGGTGGTACTCTGTTGGCTTTTCCGACTTGATCTTCTTCGTGCTCTACCTCTTCTCTTGCCAGTACGATGTCTCTTTGAACTTTCGTCTATATTGGAAGTGGCACTTTGTTTGGTTTTAAGTCTTTTTCTTTGTTTAGGCAACTTACTGCTCTCTGCGCTAGCAACTACAACTTCGGATGGATCCAATAAGCTTTTAAGGCTTTCGGTTATCTTCTGCACGTTTGAATAACTATTTATATTATGAAAAACACTTGTAACACTATGCGATCTCAATGCAATTTCACGTTCATATTGCTCATTGGTCATTATAGGCACAATTTCTTCAGTTTGCATTGCAATCGTTTCGCGCAAAAGTTTCGCTGTCGGATCCCAGCTCATACGTTGTTGTTTCTTAATTATACTAGCTATATCCATGACCGTATTATGTCTCTTAATATTTGCCTTCTGCATCCAACGATTCCCATATTTACGCACTGCGGTATATTTCCTTATAATATCCGGCATAATATCGGAATAAAATTCGGTATTTAGATCACTTCCGCCCATTCTACGTAAGGTTTGTAATTTATTGTAGTTTACTTCCGTAGTTTCTCCGTTTAAGCTATGCGCGACCACTCCACGTAAAACGTTATTACTTACGGCTTGTTTTAACTCCTCGCTATAGGTCGCCAAAGTCCGTTCTAATTCATCGAGTTTTTTCATGCTCTTTTTATGTCTATATACTGCTTTAATTAGAACTGTCGTTCGGTTTTTTATTTGCTTCTCTAAATGCTTTTGCTCGGCCCGAAGCTCATCGTATCGTCGGCTGAGCTTTACAAATGCATTGATTTTCTCTTTTTTATCTTTTTCTTGCTTTCTTCTTTTAGTTATACGATTGATTCTAGCATGAGTTTTATATTTCTCCAATTGACGTTTTCTAACTTCGCGAGATTGTGGTTTCGCCGCATTGTAGAATCTTGAGAATATTGAATTAACTTCAAAGAATTTGCTGAGTTTAGTTGGTGTTCGTAGTGTTCTTAAATGTAAAAATTGCTTCCAAGGTTGACAGCGCATTTTTTTTAGTTTTTAATAGTTCCTAATTTCACTTTCTTTATGTTGATTATATACTGAAAATTTATGTACACAAAATTTTGAATGAAAATGACAATTTTTAGTAAATACTTGAAAGCTGACACATTTTCGATATAAATAAAGGTATATGTAATTTGTAATAAAAATAAGTAATTGGACTCGGTTGAAAATAACTGATATAGCATATCATAAAATATTATTTACAAATTTAAGCTTACGGTAAACTCTCTTACAAGAAAAAACATTAATTCGGGCAGATACTAAGGCGTCGTTGAAAATATTGAAGTTTTTACTAAAAATCAAAACCGAAGTTGTAAGTCCAAACTTAATAACTATTATTGGGAACCTAACATATGGCCAATACCCAATAGTAATGCTAGTGTGACTACGATAGTTCCTCAAAGGCCAAGTAAATACGAAGCTGCACTCCTTCAAAAAAAGATAAGCATAGTCGATAGTGTCAACATATTGATATCACAGATTCCCTTTAAAAAAATGGATTCAAATTTTTGAGAGTATCCACGTTCTTTCTCCTCAGATAACTTTTTCTATTATTAAGGGTTCTCAGTGATTTATGTTGAAGTAAAAAAACAAGTTCACATTATTTAATTATGGGAAACCCTATCTTTCTAGAAACTTCGCATCAATATACAATATATTCACTGTCATTAATTAGCTTCTTCTTCAGACGCTAAGTTTGAGCTCTTTACTCCAACAATGGGCATGTAAAAGTGGTTACAAAGTTATTCATTTGTATCTAACACAAGAAAGTATTTAGCTTAAATTGTATAACCGCTTGCTATTCTCTCTATATTTGATTATGCCAGTCTATGTGTTCGATTCGCTTCACTCCAAAGTTTAGGCACAGCTATCATAATTGTCCAAAGTGAAAATTTTCCGTTTTAAAACAATGTTTTGGCCCGCCTAACTAATTTCTTGTGCATTATTCTACGAATATGTTTATTCGATTTTACCAGCTTTACAAACCACTCTGTGGATGCAAAGAAACTCATAATTTTTAAAAGAGTTTGTGGATTCTCGCAGAGGTGATGTTTACTGATCACGCTACAATTCTGACTTCCGATATGAAAGACAATTAAATTGAATCAGCTAAGACGACTATATATAAAATATGTAGACTATCTCTTTTCATCCTATAAGCATACTGTGGCATACATATGTTTATACCTTCTTTAATATTTAAATCTATTTTTAGGAACATAACTAATAGTTATCCCACAGCATAACCATTCCCTCGTTTTAAGTACGTTTCTATGCTTATGAAGAGATAGGGCTTTAGTGTCGCCATTCAGCACAAAATGCGCCCTACGTTGTATAAGGTAAGGAGTAATCATTGCGACCAATCGAATTGCCGCCCAGTGAACTTGTATGAATTTTCATTGCTGTAGGGAAATTTGCGCCGACGATCTATGTATGTGTAGCTTGAACACATTCATACACATGAAATACAAGTATATGTGAATAAGCAAAGATACCAAAGGTAAAAAACTATAGATCAATACTATTGTAGTTCGTAAAGCTATTTAGTTTTGAAATTACGCAACTATTAAAAACTATTTTAGATCTTTCTTTTAATGTGGTTTGAAGCTAAGTTATTACAAACTGTAGTCCTTATTTAAACCATTATGTTCTTTTTTTTTTGTACCGGTACCTTTCTTCTAAACCATTTCCATCCATTAAATGGTATGCCGCTTTTAGTGGAAGTGAAATGAACAAACCTTCAATTGTATTTCGGACAAGTATGGGAACTCTTTTTCCAGATCAGATTACTGACAGCTCTCTGTAGTTACTATTAAACCGAATTCATCCTGGGTAGAATTTATTGGATGAAGTGGTTGTGCATAGTCAGCTGAGAAACGTTAACACGTGTTATCGGTTCTCGGTAGGCATATTGTATTTCTGTCATGAAAAAACTTTCGGGATCAAGTACTCTCAAGATGCCATTTACATATAGGATTATAGGAGATGATAAAAGGTCTATCGTCCATCACGTCACCTAAAAATATTTCAAGTGGGTGTCAGCATTAAAACCGAAGTCCTAAGCACTCCTTTCGTCATCGAAAGAATTGGTGAATGAAAGTTTCTTTTATTTTCCAATTTGGGCTTTTTAATTACATTGTTGTATTTTTAGCACATGTTGAGACTATATTGAAACAGTTTACTCAGACTACCCATTTGCTAAGTATAAATTAGGTTAACCCAGAGTGGATTACTCATCATTTACTTTCGAGCAAATAACCGGCTTTGGACATACTTAGACTTAAATGCTTTTTTGTTTTAAATCTCAGCGGAGTACTTTAAGAGCTTGTAGACCAAACCAACTAAAATAATAAGCATTTTATGTGTTTTTTCTTCTTTGGTCTATTCCTTCCTCTTACCTAAGCTTTTATAACTGTAGCTGAGCTACCAACCACTTTTATTTAATATATGTAACCTCATATCTGTATGTGGTCCTGAGATTCTTTGTCGAAATTTTTGTGGATATAAATTTTGAAACATATTTTTGAGTTTTAAAACCATTTTCGACGAAGTCCAACCAGTGTCTCCCTGCGACTGTGACCATCTTTATTGTTGCAGTGAAAACAAGCAGGATCAGAAGTTCAGACTTACAAAATTCCACTTTCGATTCTGCTACCCAGCATTCCGCAGTGTAAGATTCGACGACGTTACACTGTACGTACTTATTGCTGTTGTTGCTTTGATGGTGGATTGCGACCATGCCCTGCAGCACGGAAAATGCATCAAAATAATGAGCATGGAATGTGCATTTAAAGCATGTCGGTACCTGTCTGTGATTCTATACGCCCTCCCACCCTGCAGCCAAGGTTGTGCGCAATCAGATGAAATAAAGAAGCGTCTCGGTAGCAAATGAGGGCGACATGACGACGATCAATAGGGCGATTGATAGCTGAAGCGACAGTAGTGCTCCCAGCATTTAAGTTGGCCGAGCGATCGAAAGGCGGCTGTGCAGCAAATTATGGCAGCAAATTTGTTTAAAAAAAAAAACAAAAAAATATTATAAAAATATAAAGACAAAAATGAAAATGGCTCGTTTCCATTCTGCTCGAATTTATCGAAACGTCAAACAGCTGGCGTAATTTTGCTACAGCAATGGATTTCGTTGGTGATGTTGTTGCTTTTGTTGTTAGCCATACACATGTAGATTAGTCGCTTTATAACACGCACATGCCACATACAAACATACATAGTTACGTATGTAACGTAGCGCATTGAACGTGTCCGTCAGTTGATTTGCATATTTTGTTGTATGCAAAGTATCAGCAGCACAAGAACAACAAGAATTATTACAACAAAGCTTGCAATTGCTTGGTTTAATGTAAAAATGCAATAAAATCTCAGCTACAGCTGAAGCGCCCCATAATTTTCTCGCTGCCACAGTCTCACGAGATCGATGTATTTTTTGATGTTCGAGAGATCGCTGCTTGGAGATTGGTTACAGGCGAGTTCTTGTAAATTGGAGCAAAGCAAAGCAGAAAGTGTATAAAATTACGCTTACAGGGCATATACCATAATATATTTCTACGGACATATGTACGAGGTATGTTTGATAAGTCTGCGGCTCGTTTGGTCATCACGAAATATCATTTGTCGAAACTTCAGTTCGACTACTCGCTTTATGGAATCTCAAGCGAACCACTTAATGTGTTTGCATGTTGTAGATTAACAATCTCGTAAGAATAGTTAGAAGCAAAATAACTTCAGGAGCTCGAGATAGCTTCAGCTTTGACATGAACTCCTCGTTAAGACCATCGACCATCGTGATGATACATTTGAAGAATCTTCAAATATCTTATGGTCAAAAGTTGGCCATGGCTGCCGGCAATGCCCAACAATTCAGAGAACATTGGAAACATTGGTAGTCGATGCGCCAAGTTTCAACGAAAAAGCTCGGTAGTCGATTCACCTGAAAGTTAAAAAAATTTACGAGATAAAGATTAGGTGGTCAAGCATAGTTTTTAAGTCATTAAAAAATCTCAAATTAATACTACTACTTCAGCAAATTGTCCAAATTGAACCCTTAAGTCTATTTCATGTATCCAAACCTTAAAAAGTGGAATGGTTGTAAAATATTTTATTCAAATTCCTTTTTTTTTTTTGGTTTGTATAATATCAAATCTTATACTCAACATTTTAAAAGTACATAGTAAATAAAATTTACAGTTAGTAAGGAAATGTCTTTATTTAACTTTGCAGCTCACCAACAACTTTAGACTTCTTCTAACGCGCTTTCTGTCGTTGTCGTCAAAATAGCATCTACATTATTCTCACCACCGCCGCATTCAGCATGTCACATCAGACCGCACGTCGCGCACAAGCGCCTACAAGTCTCGAGTGCCCGCTAGCATCATTGGGACGCAACAGTAGCACCATCATTGATTCGCTGACGGGACATCATCAACCGCCATATCATCATCCACTCAGTTCCAGTCCACTCGATCCGCAGGTCTATCAAATGTCACGCAAATCGCCGGACCTCAGCATCGATGCAGACGATATCATCTACACACCATCGGCTTCGCAACAAGGTGATACCGTAGATGGACTGCTCAATGAATTGGTTAATATTGAAGAAGATGCGGAAACCGCTGCAGCAGCCGCATCGGCTCTGAATGCCACCGCGCAACGTAATCACACGCTACCAGAAATGTATCAGCTACCGCACAGCGGCTCACATGGCGGAGGGTCAACAGCCGGACGTATAACCAGACATCAGGGTGGACGTTGCAGCGTGCCGACGGTATCAAGTGCGGTCAATGGTGGTAGCACACGAAATATGCAATACTTTTTGGAGAAGAAAATGGACGCGCTCTATTTGGGCAATGCGATACGCGCGCTTCCCTTAGGTTCGGAGGCAAATCATTTTCAGAATGAACGCTATTTTCTGGAGGACGGACTGCGTAATATATGCAATTACAATAATGCCCCCGAACGACTAGCGGGTGAGTTTGGGCAACGGTACTATATAATTTGTTGAAATTTATTTTAATTGCATTTATTTTCATGTCAGACGCACACTACTTACGCCACCATACCTCCAGTCCCAGCGAAACAAGCGGTTCCGATCGTTACCTGCTAAATCGTACCGGTTCACCGACGGATGCATTCAGTTCGTCCAATCATTTGGAAAATTTTGCCAACACCAGCAACAACACCACATCATCCAACCTTGCGCTGGATCAACGTTTCCATCATACCAAAGTGAAAAGCCTCTCCGACGGTCTCTGCAACATCGGACGCTTCTCACCTAGTCTAGATCAAGGTTATGCCACGCTTGTTTCGCCCTCGCCAACGGGTCATCATCCGAACACAATTACAACACATAGCATCGTACACCACCCACCGCCGTCGACAACCACTTTAACGGCAGTGACACGCACACGACACGACAATGTCGCGCCACCACCATGGAATAAGAAGACCTTCCGTTCGGGACCACTCTTCGATCGGCTACCCGACGATGTGGTTTTAAAGATTTTCAACTGGTTCGACAGTTGCGAATTGTGTATTTTGGCGCGTGTGTGTCGACGTTTCGATCAACTCGCCTGGCGACCAGTGCTATGGAAGGTGATCTCACTGAAAGGTGAACACCTCAATGGCGATAAGACGCTAAAAATGATTTTCCGGCAGTTGTGCGGTCAAACCTGTAACGGCTCGTGTCCGGAAGTAGAGCGCGTAATGCTCGCCGAGGGCTGTCGAATATCCGATAAAGGTTTGCAGTTATTAACGCGACGTTGCCCGGAATTGACACATCTACAGCTGCAAACATGCCTGCAGGTGTCCAATCAAGCGCTTATGGAGGTACTTACGAAATGTACAAATTTGCAGCATCTCGATGTGACGGGTAAGTAACCTGGTATACCCTTCCAACAATAAAGCTGTACTAAAACTAGAAAGTAACGTTTTATATATGCTTCATATCTTATATCTTCTAGGCTGCAGCCAGGTGGTCAGCATCAGCACGCATCCAAACCTGGAACAACCACGACGTCTACTGCTGCAATATTTAGATCTTACAGATTGCGTTGTTTTAGACGACGTCGGACTTAAAATCGTTGTGAAAAACTGTCCACAACTGGTATATCTATACCTTAGACGCTGTATAAAAATCACAGGTAAGTATTACTAAAGCGCATGCAGCAGTTTTAACTATATATCTATACAAATGTATACTAAATTAATATGCTTCCAGATGCCGGATTAAAATTCGTTCCAAGTTTTTGTATCGCTCTTAAAGAGCTCAGCATATCCGATTGTGTGAACATTACCGATTTCGGTCTCTATGAGCTCGCCAAACTTGGCGCTGTTTTACGATACCTCTCCGTGGCGAAGTGTGATCGCGTCTCCGATGCTGGGCTCAAAGTGATCGCGCGTCGCTGCTATAAGCTGCGCTATCTGAATGCGCGCGGCTGTGAAGCGGTTAGCGACGATTCCATCACGGTATTGGCGCATTCCTGTCCGCGTCTGCGCGCACTTGACATAGGCAAGTGCGATGTAAGCGATGCAGGTTTGCGCGCACTCGCCGAAAGCTGTCCGAATCTGAAGAAGCTCAGTTTACGCAATTGTGATATGATAACGGATCGCGGCGTGCAATGTATTGCTTACTACTGTCGTGGCCTGCAACAACTAAATATACAGGATTGCCAGATATCGATAGAGGGCTATCGGGCGGTGAAGAAGTACTGTAAACGCTGCGTTATAGAACACACAAATCCAGGGTTCTGTTGATTAGTTAAGTGTTAGATGTAGTCGTGCGCGGAGCTATATTAATTTTTCGTAAAGTGTGTGAATCACACAATGTTAAATAGAGGCAGTATAATGAATTTTTTTTTATGTGCATTTAGTTTTGTTGAATTTAAAGAAATTACGTCGGAAAATTAAATGTAATCTAAGCTGCGATTTGTTAGAAAAATAGAAAAGAAGATTTTGTTTAGAATTTACTATTCTCCCTCTAACTTGAAACTGAAAATACTCTGCATTTAAAACTATTCTCTAATGTAAACGGAGTTTGCATGAAAAGGTACATAGCTGTTGTTTTAATATTTAAGAGGCACTTACAATTTCGATAAATCTTATACTACACACATATGCAACGTTATAACTATATAATACATTATTTTCGTTTAGACCATCTCATTCTTTTAGCAATACACTACTTTGCAACGCCAGAGCAGCTTAAAACTAAATAAAGCCGTTTCAAGATTTGCGAAACTTTATGTAATTCTGTCAAACTTGCCAGTTTACGGAAAACAATGCCTAGCAAATATTTCTGTTTTTTTTATTTTAATTTTTTTCTTTTTAATTCTCTAGAAACAATGTGTGTATAATGTGTACGTGTTGTTTCAAACGTTGTACAAACGCGATTTCATCTTCATTTACTTATATATAATATTTATAAAAAATATTTTAACGAACTTGTAAATACATTAGATACATATAAATTATGAAAGTAAATTAAACTGTCGTTAATTATAAAAACATACAATTGGTAAAACAAAAATTATTTAGCATAATTGACAGTTGGTTTTTGTTTATGTAAATTTTTAATTTTTATTGAAATACAAATAAATTAATATGGATGTACACAGGTTGGTTGAAAAGTTTCTGTGCTTGAAATTAAAAAAATGCTGTTTTTGGTACGACATCTATTTGTTATTCAATATAATCTCCCTTAGCTTCAATACACTTATTATGATACTCCACTAATTGTATGCCATCCTAATAATTACTTTCCGAAAGCTTTGCAAAATACCCATCTACGGCTGTAATAGCTTTTTCATTCGACGAAAAACGCTTTTCACGAAGGAGTTGTTTCAGGTTTCTGAAGACGTAGGAGTCGGTGGAAGGCAAATCTGATGAATGCGGTGGATGCTCAAGCAATTCGTACTTCAATTCGTTGAAGTTTGCCATTGTTAAAACACCTTTGAGAGCAGATGCATTGTCTTGATAAAAAAATATTTTTCGTGCTGCTAACCATGACTTTTCTCCCGAATTTTTTCATCCAGCTGATCCAAAAGGGTGCAATAATATTCAGAGTTGATTGTTTTACCAGAGAATGTAGATTATATATTTTACATTCTCTGGTTTTAGCTTTCTACAGATAATTAATCAACAAAATTCCTTTTGCATCCCAAATAACTATCGATTTAAAATTATGACACAATATTCTTAAAATATTATGCATTAATTTAATACAAAAAAATTAAAACCCAAGTAATTGTTTTCAGGGAGGCGTACACTAAAAACAATTAGTTATGGGGTTCAGTGCAGTCAGTGACTTGAAAAATATCTTATTTATAAGTAGTTTTGTTTTAGTTTTTTGGCTAGTTAGACTTGACAGAATTTTGAAATAAAATAATAATTTTTAAATAATTTATTTTTTAAAATTCTGACTACCCATAACTGCTTTTAGCGTCATAGGCAAAATGCATTCAAATTTCGAAGGAATTAGAATTTTTTACCACCCTGTTGTCAATAGTAGTGCTGCCAAGTTGATTATGACAGTTGTCAAAAACATCTGTTAAACCACTACGAATTTTAGGTTAGGAACGATTGTGTAATGTCAAATTGTAAACAAGCAGTTTTCGCATTACCCACAATAGTTTCACATTCATAGACTTTATCATAAGTGTACATTACCGATATTTGCAAAACGAAGTAAATTTAAGAATGGCGAAATATTTGGCGCAGATCATTATGCTTGGCGGGCAAGCTATTGGTCGTGCATTTGCGAAAGCGTTGAAGCAAGAAATAGCGGCATCACAGGAGGCTGCCCGGCGCGGCGGTGGTGGACAGCAGGGAGAAAAACGTGCAGAAGCTAATGCGCGAACTGGTAAATTAAATGTTAATTATATTAATACAAACATTTTAATTAATTTCGCCATTTACATCGGTGTACAGGCATGACATTGGAAGAGGCCAAACAAATATTGAATGTGGACGATTTAAAGGATCTTGAGAAAGTTATTAAAAACTATGAACACTTGTTTGCGGTGAATGAAAAAGCGAAAGGTGGTTCCTTTTATATACAGTCAAAAGTTTTCCGTGCAAAGGAACGTATTGATCATGAACTCAAACAACAAATGGATGCGGCACGGTCGAAACAAAGTGAAACGTGATGAGATGCAATGCCATTGTGATGAAAATAATTAGCAAATGCGCATAATTATTTGATATCTATAAATAGGTTAATTTTTCTAGAATTATTTTAACGTAAGCGATAAACGAAAATCTATGAAATTGCGAAGAAAAAAAAAACACAAAACCGATTAACGTAAACACACATCGTAACCAAAGGCAGGAGATCGATAAGCTTTTCATGTTTGTATAGCGATCAAAAGCATTGTAAATAGTAGCTTAGAGACAAAATCAAATGAATTTATTTTAAGATACGTAGCTGGGAACTCTCAAGTTCCTTTGTACAGTTGCTCGATTCATTAATGATTATATTATATAAATAAACTCTTGCTTAGGGGCAAAGGCTTTAAACTGCAGACATGTCTTGCATAAACAAATATATGAACTTGCTGTTTAAATGTGTTTATCTTATATATTAACTTACTTGTTTATAAATAAATAAACAAATTGTTATGAATAATACATGCAGTTTAAATTATTTTGTAAACTTTTTTCTGGAACAATAAATTTATATAAACGCTAACTTCGAATGCACCGAAGTTAGAATACCCTTCACATATAATATAAGAAAGTTTCCTTACAAGATTGCATTTCGATCGGTCAGTTTGTATGGCAGCTAAAAGCTGTAATGTTCCGATCTGAACAATTTCTGTGGAGATTGTAGAGTTGCATTGGGCTGTAATCTATGCAAAATTTCGTAAACATATCTTTTCAAATGAAAAAGTTTTCCATAAGCGAACTGGATTTTGATCGTTGAATTTGCTTGGCAGAGAGTTGCTATATTTGTCTGATATCGGCGGTTCCAACAAATGAGCAGCTTTTTGGAGAGAAAAGAACGTGTGAAAAATTTCAAATAGATATCTCAAAAATAGACGGAAGTGGCTAAATCGTCATATTTTTGATGATTTTCTTGTTTTTGTTTTTTATCCTCAATTGCATATATTGTAAAAGTGTTATCCCAAGCTATTTATTGATATACGTTTTTTAAATTTATCGATCCCGATATCACATCCTCAAAATCGTATTAGACGGAATGCAACACTGTAAGTGCGCACAAAGAACGAATAACGGAAATGATAACAAAATAGAATTGGTTAAAACAAATGTTAAACAACCAATTGTGCTAATATACATATGTATGTATGTATATCAGAAAATTCAGTAATTTGTTTTTTTAATAACGATTAAAAAAAGTTTATTGCATTGAAACACATCTGAATGGTGCGTGTATTTACGAAAACGTCAAAACTCAGAGGAAATTCCAGCACAAAGTACACGTACAATGTTTCATTGCCACCCACAGTGGGTGTAAGAGCTAGAACAGATTTCCACTTACAGACTTTATCGTTCTGCATGAATAGATGCGCAGACATTCCAACGTGAGTAACATTTTCATTGCAGCGAAACTCAGTATAACGAACTAATAATGCTTTTTAGCAATTGTAATTCCTTTGCAGTGACAGTTTTCAGAGGACCTTCGCCGAAGTTGGAAGCAATAATTGAAAAGTCTCTAAAGTCAGTTTTTTCTCAAATAAAGCTCCATACTGAGCCAGAAGTCAGCATTGTAAAGCAGTGGCCAAAGGCATACATAACATTACAGTTCAGCAATCCTATATACTATAGTGCGCGTATCTTGAACGTACTTGCATGCAAAATCGATTAGAGTGTGGAATTTTATAAAACATGCGTCTTCATTGACACATATTAAGTAATAATCGCGGGTTTTTAGGTGTAACATATATAATATTTTACGTACCTATTTCATTTCAGAAAAGCAAACAGTTCGTATATTTAAAAATTCGAAATTTATTGATTTACAATTGGTCATTGACAAAAAAGAAACACACAGTTAAATAATTGCTTATTTTACCTTCATACATTTTCTGTAAAAAAAAAAGAATTGTAATATTGAAACTAAAGGGTGTCAGTGAAATTAAACACAAATATAAATATCTTAACATTGAAAAGTTCATATTGGCAAAAAGAAAGTAAAAAAAAAAATCTGCAAAGTAGTCAACAGTCGCAGCAATCGTACAAGTCAGTGTTCGTTTGAAAAGAACTCGTAAAAACGTGAGAGATTCGTGAGAATTTTTTCTCCACGCGAACAATCAACCCCTGTTTTCTTATTCGGGGCATACCTATTGTACATTCCACAAAACCGTTGTGACGCGCATTTAAAAATCGCCACCCACTAACAAACCAACAAGCACACATCTGCACCATATTCTTGGTTTGGTAGTGTGCTCATTATTCTGCTCTTCCACGCACTAGTTACTACCTTAAGCCCATAATCGGCACGCCGTCTACAAGTCTACTTTTGCCTACATACATAAAAACCACGAGTTACTTGAAGTCGAAACACTCCCACCAATACACACGTATCGATTGATATAGAAAAGTGCCAGCAAGTGCATCGTTGTCAAATATAATTTACGTGAAGAGAAATTCGTTGAAGATAGAAGCAAGAAAACCGTTAGTGGTCGAATATGTTCTCTGGTCTAACAAATCAATTCACTTCATTGGTGGGCGCCGTCAAGGGCGGTCAAGCCGATGAAGACGTGCCTGCACCTACTCAAGATGCTGTTGCCGCTCCAGAAGTATCCGCTGCTACAGCAGCACCAACACCAGCTGTTGGCGCCGAACAAGCAGCGAATGCAGCTGGCGTCATTGGGGAGCAGCCTGTTGAAGGTGAAGAGGGCGCTAAAAGGTAAGTACTTTAAAGAAGAAAAAGGAAACGCAAACGCTAAAATACAAATGGAAGTTTATATTCAGCAGATGTGTTAACTTTGCTAACTGTTTATTTGATTGCTTTTGTTGGTTATTAATGAACCCAAAAGTGATTTAATCATATGGGAGTCTATTTAAAATAGTTTAAAAAAAGTTTTTTGGCATACTATATACATATACATACTACTATATACATATGGCATACTTGAAGTGATAAGATATATAAGTTTTTTAATTTTATGAAATAAAAGTTCATTTACTTAAGGATTAAAAATAAAATTTTCGATTTTTAATTCCGATTTTTGGATTATATTATAATTTTTAATCCCATATTTGGGGTAAAATTATATTTTTTTTGTATTAATTTTCAATCCGGTATAGGAATTAACATTTAAAAATTATTTTTAACTAAGATTTTCGGGAATACAAAGTAATATCAAATGTTACTTCAATTATTTTTTTAATGCGCTATTTTCAACCCTGATGAATAGTGAAAATCGGTTTCAACGAATACAAAATGCTAATCAGTTTACAATTTTATGACTTTTACACGTTGTAGTAAGTATATAACTAAAGGAATTCCAAATTATACCAACAATAATTTGACCTACATAACATTGTTGTGATACTTATGCCACTTAAAAATGTATTACTCCCTTACCATACATAACCTTGCAATTATGCAGTTAATCCAATAGCAACATACAAAGTCACTTATTTTTATATAAACAAAAGTTATAAGCAAAACTTTCTTTTAGTTAGATTCATTCGAATAAAGAAGAATTAATTATATTTCCAACCTCGTGACTAACGCGGCGCTCACCAAAGCGTTTATACAGCTGCCAAACCCAAAATCTGCTTAGTTGCCCATTTTAATCGCTACAACAGCGAGAGTAATGCGTAAAATTGGAGTGGAGATGTGTAGATACTCACATATATGGAGGTCACATGTGAGTATCGCCATCCCCTTTTAACTGTTATTCTGTGTTATCAATGGAAATACGTAACAGCGAAAATTATAATGAAACATTTTGTTCCATTTGTAATTTTACAATTTTCAAGAGGAGGGCATTGTGTTACACATTATTCTTATCAGCAAATAACAGATTCAAGCACTTAAAACCGACAATAATGGGCGGACATAATCGTAAAAGCAAATTGTAAGTTGCTATTTTCGCTCAATGAAAACGTGGTACTCATTTGTACGTTTGTTTTAAGACCAAGTGGCAGAGCGCTCAATTACTTATTCCTAATACTTATTAATAATTATCTAAAACAAGAAAAAACACCTGCACAAATACAAAATTTCATACGAGAACTTGATTTTGATCATTCGGTTTGTAGGGCAGCTATATGCTATATTGGTACGATCTGAACAAGTTCTTAGGATATTGTACCGTTGCCGTAGGCAATAATCGATGCCAAATTTTGTGAAAATACCTCTTGAAATAAAAAAAGTTTTATATACAAGGACATAACTTTGATCGTTCAGTTTGTACGACAAATATATAATATGATACAGTGGTCCGATATCCGCGTTTTTAGCAAACGAGCAGTTTATTGGGGGGAAAAAGACGTGTGCAAAATTTCAGGTCGATACTGATCATTTTTATATATAATTTTTATAGAGTCTCTCAGTATTACAAACTTCGTGGCAAACATTCCTGTTTAGGGTATAAAAAATGTTATAAATCTCGAAGGAAGGTTATTATTATTTTTCACTTTTATGTTGTTGTTGTTGTTATAGCGGTAGAATTCTGCCGAGTTGACATTCCTGGGGCGGACAAAAATCCGGGTCCGTTCCGGTTACGTAGACCCGACTGTCGTCGGAACGGATTTTCCACTCTCATAATTATTTGCTGTTCATATCACACTTTCAATAGCTTTTTATATTCCTCTTCTATCCATAACGGTATTTTTAAATTTTGCATCACTTAATGTTGCTGACTGAATACCAAGTATGCAAATAAGCAACCAAATTGGTCTCCAAGCGACCTGTAAATAATTTCCTCAAGTTTCCGGCAAGTTCACATGTATGTACAATACATATGTACAACCATTTACAGCTTTGATTTAAACCCCTTATTTTAAAATTTTTTATTGTTGCTTTAATTTATTGCCTTTTCTTGCATTTCGATTTCATTTTCATGGTCTTCACGGCTATTTGAACTTACCATTCTCAGTCTTTATATGTGTTTTTAGCTTGTTTGTATGTGTATATATGTACCTGCTAATTTATCATGATAACTTTATGCGCTAGCATGGCATGTTAAATTGACCTTGTCTATTGTTTTTTTTTTTTGTAAACAGTTATTTGCCTAGTTGTGGTTGTTGTACTTGTACAAGAATTTATTTAATGCTAAAAATAATGTATTATTACTTTTGACATTTAGCACAATTTGTTGAACACTTAAGTTGCTTTGAATATTTATTTTTGAATTCCTCCTTATTATGTAGGTTAAAGTAGTAAATATGTAACATATGTTTCAATATTTATTGATTCTAGTTAGTATTTAAATCTGTGTAAAAATTCAAATAAGCTGGTTAAATTATGACGAATACGCTTTTTTCTTTTACTGCTTATGCATTGAAAGAAGTATTAGCACCGACTGCTCTCTCTAAAATATAAATAATAAAATATATCTAATATTATAGGGCACATTTAGCATGAATTTTTGAAAAAAATTTATTTTTTTTTATTTTTTGCATATTTCGATGGTCTATACTTTAAAAATAATACACAATACTAAAATTTTAAATCGATATCTCAAATAACTTTAGAGTTACAGGCTTCTAAAATGTAGCCGCTCAGTTCAATCAGGTCTATAAGTTTATCTTTAAACGCGTTTTTCTCAAAATCAAATTTTTCAAATTTGCTTGAGTGATTACTCAGAGACAAATGTTAGACTCACTATCAAATTTCAATCACTAATAAAGTTTTCTGCATGTTGTATATATAATTATCCATACAATGGCCAAACAGTTTGTTGATCTGGTCAAAAATCGAATTTGACGGATCAAAAGCAACCAAATTTTTGTGTAAAATTTAACTTATTTTACACCGCCATTTTGTAAATTTTTCCTTTTTTCGAGTTAAGTTTGCCACGAAGTTTGTAACACCCATAGGGAACATCGGAGACCCTATCAATTTATTTTATATTATATATAGGCGATCATATGCCTCTATATACGCGAATTAGTCTTTCAGTTTTTGAGAAATCGATCTGCAATTTTTTACACGTCCTTTTCTCCCCAAGTAGCTGCTCATTTGTCGGAACTGCCTATATTGGGCCCACTACAATATATAACATATAGCTGCCATACAAATTGAACGATCAGAATCAAGTTCTTGTAAGGAAAACTATTACATTAGACAAAATATTTTCACGAAATTTTGCATGAATTACTATACAGAGCAGTGCTACAAAATACGCAGAAATTTTTCAGATCGGATGACTATAGCATATAGCTGCCATACAAATTATTTATATTTACTGCAAATATATATACGACATGGCGTATGAGTTACCTCATTGAACTATCTTTAAGGGTGATATGAGAAAATTTCCTATGAGCCCAATTGGATTTAAAATTATATGTAAAATTGTTGTTGAATATTTGAACTATAATTGTGAACTAATAGAAAATAATTATAAAAATAAAATCACAATAGATTTAAATAAAATTTAGACCATTCAAAAATTAATTTAACTCGGTTAATTTTTTAAACTAATATTTACATATGAAAACAAAATGTTGTTAAACTAGGAATGAATTATTCAGAAGAGATAAAATGTTAATCACACTAATAAAATATATTTTCCTATTTATATCTGGTAGTTTGCATTCACACTAAAATATACACAACTGTTAAGTAAAGCAATTATTATGCATACATATAGGTAAACTAACATCTCCCTAGGCAGCATTTATAAGTGATTTATACAAGTATGTGTTTATTTGCACTTGTTTCGTGCCACTTCCTTATTGTGCGAATAATTTACTGATTACTGTGGCGCAAGTGGGTTCAACATTTCTAACATCTACACCACTTGACGCACTTATGGACTTAACTGCTTTATTCGGTGTTGGTTTGACTATCTATATGGTAATTGTCAAATATTCGTAGCTCACAACAACAATAGCACAGCGCAACTCGTATAACACACTTATCACATTATTGAACTGTATTGACTGTATCAATATTAATTTGCTGACAACATTCTATGTTTAATTGTATGCCAAAAAGAGGCAGCTACTAATAATTATCAAGTGCTCTTGCCGCACACATATATACATATATATTGTATATGTACATTCACACATATAATTGCGCTCGGCATTCAAGGGTTTTCAAGTTACCTGCTCAACTGCAGGGGCAATAAATTTGGTGTACCTTGGATTTCTGCAAATTATTTGCGATCTGTAATTATTTGTGTGATATATCGATGGCATACATGTACGCTGTCAATACAGGAAACGGCTATTTATATCAATGCGTGTGTGTTAAACTCACTTCTCAATTGTTATTTATTTTATTTTGGCATTTACTTCTTTCACATGTTTGCCTTTTATTGTTGTTTGGTATCGCTTATCAATAAAAAATTTTATAGCGGCAGAGTGACTTCATAAAATAATAAAAAGGGGGTATTAAGTTTGTCACGTAGTTTGTGACACCCAGAAGCAAACGTCACACACATCATCTTCTCCATAAGAAGCTGCTCGATTGTCGAAACCGCCGATATGGCACAACTTTAGCATATAACAGTCATACAAACTAAACGATTTAAATCAAACTCTTATTTGGATATCTTTTTTATTTAACAAGATATCCTTACGAAATTTGGCATAGAGTATCCAAGACATCGCTACAATCTCCGAAAAAATTGTTAAGATCGGACAACCATAGCACATAGCTGCCGCACAAACTGCACGATAAAAATCAAGTTCATGTATGGAAAACTTCTTTATTTGAGGAGG